AATAAATTCCTGCCTCAGCCTACTCGTACAGCTCAGTGGAAGTAGGAAACAATGATTGGCACCCGCTAACCCCGTTCGTACCTACTTAAGGGAGGAACAGGAGGAAAAAAACCCTGCAACTCTCGACAAAGCGATGACGGATTTTTCACACAAGTGTCACGAGGCTTCGGGGAAAACCAAAGCACAACATCGCAGATGAACGGCGCTTAGTTTGATGGTTAGGTTGGGAAAACAGTCATTTCTATCTGCATTGGTTTGATTATTCTTCAAAAGATAGTACATTATATTTACTGGTGTTGGTGAATGTACCAAAACAGCACTAGACCCCACCTTATATTCATCAAAATACTTACACCTCATATGTACAATACTGTTTTCGGTTATAGCCAACTTATATTGATGTATTTATATTGAAACTTGTCATCCAGCATCATCTTGCAAACAGAAATTAGAGCTAATTCAATTTACCGCAATATTTCCCCCTTAGTCTTACATGATATTGGGGCTGAAGCATAAGACGTTTGAAGACATAGTCTAAATTTTAGAATATAGAAGAAAGTTCCCAGGTGTACATAGGGACGCTGCTAAGAATGAAGGAAGTTAACGAGAATCGTCAGCGCCACAAGTTGACCAACAACACCGGAAAGTTTGAGACACATGTAGAGGAAATAAAGAGAGGAACCACTCACCCTTACGAGTCAACAGGTGTAAGCAGAAGTCAGAAGTTACGTCTGAGAAGAGTACGATAAGCATTTCTGCCTCCCCTGATCAGGTCGAACTTTAAAGACATTTATAAGAAAGTGAGAAAGTCTCTCATAACGTAACTTAAATATTTACCCAATCGAGCACAAGTTAGTTCAGCCTAGTTACTTGTCAAAAGGTTCATCATTACCATGTAATTGATTACAGACCAATTGCGGAAAGTACTGCGGATAGATACAAACATCAAAGGTTTAGCTCTCAGCGACTCAAGTGGGTTAACCCTGCGAGTTCTTTATACCCGGAATCCACTAATATCTATATTTTGCGGATTTGACTGTGGTTAAAAAATATTCATTTATCAATCGATCATATGTTTCCTTAATCTGTGACACGGAGTTTAACGAAATTTCTGGATGGTATTTGGGTTGGGTTTTAGAACAATACCAATGACGCTTATATAGAATACAGAAGATAACGTTGTTTATAGGTTTATATTAAGAAGGACTCCCCACGAGTGTTTCTCACGGACCGCTGCGTGAGGCTCGTGTTTCAGTCACGAAATATAAATACGGGTAGAAGGTTAGGGTGAGTTTATGGGGTGAGGGTTATAGGGAGAGGTTATAGGGTGACGGGTTAAAGTGAGGGTTAGTGCCTAATCGTTACTTTTACACTGGTATACATGAGGAACTTATTCTTCAGTTGTAAAATACATTATCCATGTGTCTCATAAAAATTGCCAGGTTTTTTTGGTCTAGCTGGGCACTAGCTTTGTCAAATAACCATTTCCTATAAGAAAAAACTCTGCCGAAACAACTCTATTTACCACAGTCAGCGAGCACACTGAAACCAGTATGGATCGCCGGCAGATTCGTGCAAGCGGTGGACAAAAACATCGTTATATTCTTCTGAAATGCGCTGTAAAGACTAAAGAACAACGTCAGCACAAGATAGCTGCAGTTTAGGGGTAAATATATCCGGATATGATTGTATTTGGTATGGATGGCTATATACTATATTCGAAATCTATAGACTAAGTGTTTTTCTCTTTTCCTTTATTAAATTTAGGGCGTGTGCGTTTGAATTAGTCATGAGACATAACAAGGTTAGATATAGATTTACTAGAAAAACACGCAAGCTACACTACACGGGGATTAAATACTGCGCTCGTTGACAGGGTCAATTAGATGTTTGACTTTGGCTTATATCCACAATGACCTAATGCTCACATTGTCAAACCAGCAAGTAAATAGACAAAAACGGCATGTTAAAGGTCCGTTTACACTGGCGATTTTCTCCTTTCGATAGATGTGAACGAGTAATTAGTAACGAATGTTCGGAACATAAGAGCTCTTATTTGAACTTCAGTAACTAGTTCACTCGTTCACATCTATCAAAAGAGGAAAATCGCATTTGAAATTGCAGCAAAAATTGCAAGTGTAAACACGGGCCTTAAGACATCAAACTCGATGTGCTAATGCGATCCTCTAACATATTATTAAAAAACTGTATTTTTGTTGTAAGTTTTTCACTTGTTCGAACTTTTTTATAAGGAATATTTGAATCCCTTTTGGTCTACGGCAGGAATTTTCGACAAGAGGAAAAGATTTGCCGATCGACCCAGTCTGTTGTGATAGCAACTCTGGAATGCCTACATGAAGTATCCTTTAAGAGGATAGCATGGCTTCTTTCGTTCATGCCACTTTTATAAACCAACAATTAAGGTAGCTATGTATGAGTACATACAGCAGATTGAACAAGTTAAGTTCCTTTCAAGAAATATTTATTTATAAATCTTTCGGATATGCCTTAAACATGGCTTTGCATGACGGCAAATTGTGAATGTTCAATAATCATTTACCCACGCTGAATTACGAGTATTTTTATATAGGAGGGCATTTTACAAGTTTTTTAAATCTACTTTATCGCATAGGGTCAGTGCTCGTCAGTCAATCAACAATTATACATAATCCTATTATGCAGAAAGTGGGCAGTTAAAAAAAACTAAAAAGATCTAAGAGCGTGTTATGCGAATATATATGAAAACTATAAGGTTTAGTATAAAAATGCGGGGGAAACTCTCGCTGTTTCGAATCGGGAAAATACAAGATCAAAGTAATTAAGTAAAAGCGTTTTTTGTCTCCTGGTGAGCATCAATCATAAGCCACGATTATTAATACTATAAATATATACGCTTATATATACCATGACAAACTTTGCTTTCCCGTGTCAGCGCTAAATTCACGGTGGTAATTGTTTGTTTAAGTTTGCGAGAGCGATGGCGATGCGTGTGTAGGACCTCGCTAAGCAAACTAGGGTGGCGTGCCTCGCTCGGCTTCAACTGCACAACTCGTGTCGAGTATACTGAACTGAAATAAGCGTTTGAATGGCGAAAACCGACGTAAATCGAGTTCTACCGCAATTGGGAAGACAAACCAGATATTGATTGAGGGAACAAATTAGGCAATATTAACGGCAAGCCGAGAGAAATTGAGTCTAAGCTTTCCGAGGCGAGCGCCCAGCGAAGTGGTTAATCTCCAAGCCGCGTTTTTAATAGAATTATTGTTGTGTACGAAACGGCGGCCATTTGTGAAATAAATCTAATAAGTTTTCACGGCTGTGTCGGGAGCTTAAGATCTCCGGCGTGTCGTGAGCTTCATAATAGCGCGGCTCGAGACAGCGCTACGGTTTCCAGCCCGACTCACGGTATTGGCGCGTATGAAGATCGACGACAAATATTTCTCAGCTGACAAGCAATTAATACGAAACAATACGATCCAGGGCCTAGTTAAATAAAAACGCATGGAAGCAACGCGCCCCTGTTGTTAAAAACACAAATCCTGCGAGGAAATTAAACAAAAATACTGCGCTGGGTCCTAGATATATTATTATTATCGGGCTCTCCTGGCTAGCTCAACGCTAAACCGTTATCATTGCTTTATATATAAGCCAATAAAGTTGGCTTTCCAGCGAGCAGTGGCATTGAAAACATTCATTTAGGCGAGTTTTAAAACTCCTAAACTCTATTCCGTCATAAAATACACAGTTTCATAGCGAGATTTTGCTTTTTTTTGTCCATACGGGATGTTTGTTTTGCATTTAAAAATATTGAGAAGTGAAAAGGGAACACAGACGAAATTGAATGAAACGATATTAAATGCTTGTTTAGTTTTTAATATATTATGTAAACGCCAGACGGCTTCGGGTCGCCAACGTGTAAGGTTCCTTTTATCAGAGAGCGGCTGTATTTTAACCCTGACAAAATTAATCAAACGTCGACACAGCAGTTAATTTGGACGATTCTTTATATAGTTTTGCCTAGTTATATATAGGAACAAACGGATCTTGCCTCAAAAGGTTGCCTCTATTAATACGACCCGTTAGTTGCCCATGAAAAAGATGACACGAGTGTGACTCGTGATTAAAAACGATTAGGCAAAGGCCTTGTTGTTGATCGGGAGAATTTGTTCTCTTTGGTCCAAGGCATGCACTCGAAATTGTTTATGTTTTATCTTTGTAGTTTTCGCACAATGCACGACGCTACACGTAGGCTGGCCCTAGCAGATTGGGAACGCTGTTTGAAGTGAAATGGTTGACTGGTGTTTGTGATCTCTTGATGAGAGTATATATACTCACACAATTTTGTCGATCAATGAGACCTATCTCGACCCGCGAGAATAAGATTTGATACGGGAAGAATACAACTCAAAATCGAGTTTAGTGCGAGACGGCTTAAGATCTCGCCTTCAGTGATTACGCGATGAACAGTTTTCAGATTCCATTGAATCAGCAAGTATAGTGTCCTCGATCAACCTTTGGCAAGATTTCTAGCAATGTACTGGAAATCAAGCTCTAGATTGAGAAGATCACTGGCATAGAGCCTAGAGGAGACCAAGATCTCCTTATCAATATGCTATGAATCACACACGTGGTGTACACGCGTGACCCTATTGTTCCCCTTGAATCCATGGCAAGATTTTGGGTGGTACACGATGGGTGGAACACTCTAAATCTCTGCGTATAGTCTCTCAGTTGAGTGGAATCCTGATCGCCATAACTTGGCTTGGGGGGGCCAGACCTCCAACTCAACTTGCCAAGGATGACATGCGGTATTCATGATTATAACATTGATCTGCCCGTGGCAAGATTTTGGGCAAGATTATACCCGAAATCAAGCTCTCAGTTTACATGCACCATAGTTATGCGTATTTCAAAATGGCTGTGAGCCCCCCTCCCCCTCGCAGTCAGTCCCCCACCCAGTTGATCCCCACCTAATCGTACATATGCCGAAAGACAGCTACCTTCTAAGATCGGAGAATTTTTATCCAATGAAATCCCATTCCATATCTGTGCTTCAGTGATCAGTCTGCTCCGTATCTCAGCCGGATCTGAAAAAAAAGACATTTAGAGCTGCAATCGCGGCTACCTAAAGAGGTCCACACGCTATGGACTGATGGGACTATTAGTCAGGAAGTAAAGCTACAATTTCCTTCTATATAGATCTAATGTAACTCAGGAGATATTTGTATGGGACGCCACGTGTAGTAACACTGGGTCAATAAGAGATGATCCTTACTGGACCTCTAGGAAGAACAGTTTAGAACTGATAGAGCTATCCAGTATAAATAAAGTTAGTTTAGTTTAGGTTTCCTCCTGTAGTAACATTGGATCAATAAGAGATGATCCTTACTGGAACTCTAGGAAGAACAGTTTAGAACTGATAGAGCTATCCAGTATAAATAAAGTTAGTTTAGTTTAGGATTTCTCCTGTAGTAACACTGGATCTATTTATCTATTTATATCAAATTTATTGAACAATGTTCAAACGGAGAAAATGCAAACGGGGCAAGAGATCCCATGCGAAGCATTGCTCCAATAAGATCAATAAGAGATGGAAGGAAGAACAGTTTAGAACTGAGCTTTCGAAGTACATAAGTTGGTTTAGTTTAGATTTCCTCCTTCAGTAACACTACATTTGATTCTTTTGATAAAAGTTGAAAACTAATAAAATCTCAGTATAAAACAATCGCGATTGTTACTACCTCGAGGGGTTAACAAAAAACTAGAACCCCGCAAGGAAACAAAACTTTGGAATAGTGCACCGGTCATCAGCAGAATTGAAAAGTAGTTTTAGGCCTTGAAAGGAAACATCGATAAACATCTGTCAGGAAACCGTATGTTCACATCTGGTTAAAAGCTACAATGCTATCATTAATCATATAATAATTGCTAAAACGGCTGTTGGCACGTATTTTAGGCTTTGTCTGACCAAGGAAATGTAATTTGATTAGAACTTAGAACTATATAGTTTAGTATATGAATATACAAAATAATTAGTTGTATCAGTTCTAAACTGTTCTTCCTAGAGGTCCAGTAAGGATCATCTCTTATTGATCCAGTGTTACTACAGGAGGAAACCTAAACTAAACTAACTTTATTTTTTACTGGATAGCTCTATCAGTTCTAAACTGTTCTTCCTGAAGGTATGAGGGAGTTTCAAGGCAAACTGTCATAAGTTACGTAGGATGTCCTAACTCGCTAGCACTTCTTCCTAAGAGCAATTATTTGTATGTTAGTTGTTAGTTGTTAGTTGTAACGCACATTTGTATCGTCAATGTATCTATTTCCAACAATGTTGTCAAACTCGACTGAAATAATTTCCTGTGTTGATCAACAACGCGTAGAAATGCTTTAGATAAACGCTTAAATAAACATATCTTTAACAGGGCTAATGGAAGGGACAGGATATTGACTGGAGTGAGCATGATTTACAAAGTAACTGCCAGGATTTCCTGCCTTTTTTGTGATGACGTATTCAGAGTATTGTAAAACATTATCTCAATGACAATATGACAAGATACCATCTTGAGGCCCAGCCACTGATCTCTGTATAGTAACTGAATGCTGCCTTATGTTTTCCTGGACCTCTCCAATAAAGCGGGTGAATATGACCCGAAACCAAAATATTTTGGCCTCTTTCCTTTCCTCGAACGCCCCAACGAATATGCCCCACAATTCGACCCACCACCTTTAGGGGGTGTGCCCCTCCTGGTTAATGTTTCTTATATAAGATTCAGATGGTTCTAACAGTTTGTCAGTCAGAACTTATCAACGTAGAAACCTTGTTTCCTTGTAAGTCGTAAGCCTATTTGGTGGTCACGTAACAACGAGTGCTCTGGGTTACTGAAATACATGTCAAAAAATGTACCAGCTGTTTGTAGAAGCATGAAGTAATGTTTTGCATTTCATTGTAAACTGTATTGGCAAAAAATTGCTGTTATTATTGATAGAGTTTAAGATTATTGAAGCCATTCAACCATTGCATTAGCCTGTCGGTGTGATTAAGCAATCATGTTAGCTGATCCAGATAAACATTGCTGTTCCCTGATTGCTTTTTTTACCGTCGCCTACACCCTGAACAACTGTTGTTAATTCACAAATACTCGAAAACATTGTTGGGACAACTGCCAACAACAATGTCAACCTGAAACTCTGACAACACTAAACCTCCTTGACAGTTGTATTCATGTTGTTCAGCGAACATTATTGCAGCAACCTGTTCTACTTTATGTAAAGTTAGAATGATGTACAAAACGGTTTCACGAGAGCGTTAAATAGGATTATAACCTAGCAGTGTTTGCGTGCAAGAATTGCAACAGTTTCAATAACTTGATTTAGACAATACTCGTTCATTTTTGTACACATGACGTGTTTATTTTATGCATTAATATGATGTTTAGCGAGTCGCCAGTGGGAGTTTGACAGGAGCATTTATGATGATTGATTAGCGAAGAACTGTGGAATAATCTCGGTGAAAAATGTTTGCAGGAGAGGTGTTTTGCTGGGGGTATTATTATCACGCTATCCCGTCGTGTTGAGTAAAAATAACTCCCCATGGCGAGAAATTGTGGACACGCATGCGTGTTAATCGTGTGGACTTTAAATTTTCTTTGTAAACAAAATGGCGACGCGTTATTATAGAATTGTATTGGAGTTAGGAATAAAATTGTGTTTAACGTAAACCTTTAAGGGAAGCGTAAAATGTCGGACCTAAAATTGGTAGATCATGGTGACAACTTTTATCCACGGAAAATTTGTAATATAACCATATACAAATTTCATTCGGTATCACGACATTTAACTATGAACTAGGGGTGAAATAAAATATATAGCCCAGTACGTAAATACCTCAAAGCGGCCCAAATAAATGCCATTTTCTAACTATTGTGATTGGCGAATACTAAGTGTCGCATCTCCCTTAGCTTGCCAGTACAGTGTGTTTCAATCGGTAAATCTTCCCAAATCTGTACGATTTTTACGTAGTTCGGTATTTTGAATTAACTTTAGTGCAAAATTGGTATATTCCAGCCGTGAAATTTGACCCCCCGAGCAAAAGCGCACTGAAATGGCTAACAGAACAAACTAAATATCGGCCTTTCTTGCTCAAATATGCATCCATTTTGCTTGTTTTTAGTACAAGCTTTGTGACCAAGCCTTGGTCTTTAGGCAAACTTAATATATTCATAAACATTGCCGTCTATGGCTGGAATATTACATAATTTTATTGAAACCGGCGAAATTTTGAAATTAATTTCGCGCAATATTCATAACAACAAACGCAGTATATTTTAGAGTCTATAGCAGTTAGGTTAATGTTTTTAAAGCATATAGAAACAAGCTCTTAAATGTCTGACGCAACTATTTCTTTGGCGAATGACAATGTTAAACTGCTCATAAATGGAAATGTGCGGTCGAATATGTTGTTCTACGTCGCCAAACAAGCCATATCAGGTGATCATGTTATATACTGTGTGGCTATTCGCAATAGCGTTTTGCTACAATGGCATAACGCATAATCCAAGCAGGAAAGTTACATAGATTTCTCAACGAGAGTCGAGATAATCAGTTCCCGATGAATCCGTCCGGACTATGCGCGCTGCGCGCATCGTTTAGCTTCCTTTGGAATTTTTTTGCTGATCTTCTGAATACTTTGTGTATGACCCTTGAAAGTCAGACACTTAACTCCTCCCACTTATGTCCACATTTTCTCGCCATGCCGAGTTTCTGGATTGATTAATGCGGGAAACAAATTGATACAACAAATGAATGCAAACAGCGTTTTGGGTTGAGTTTAGCTCAGTGTGCTGGCTCGTGAAAGCAAATGTGAGCAGGTTACTAGAATACTCGAAACTTGGTATTTGCTATATGCTATAATATGAACAGGCAGTAATCCTCAAAAAACGTACGAAATAAAGTGTTCCAAACTTGTAGGTTAACACGACAATATTGGGTCGATAATCTTGCTAAGATTCAGTCAGATTTATTTTTCCTTCACTGAGTGAAATAAAAATTATTATACTATTATAAATACAGCAGTGCTCTTAGAGTAAACTGCAGAACCATCTGTCGTCTTTATTTCTCCTGACGAGAAGATCTTTCGACCTTCAATTTTATCAATTTTAGCTTCAACCAATGTTGCTGAATTGAGAGGTAACGGTCTAAAATCAAAACAAGACGCCGTTCTGGCGTTAACTCCGGCGCACGTGCCAGTCTTCAATATAGAGCTTCTGAACATAAACAATACAGTTCGCGTATTGTTTCGCATACATATTCGCATTTAGATGCCTTGCGAACCTAAATGTTCGATCGCGAAATTCAGAAGAACATCGCAGTATAGAAGTTCAATTGTTCAAAAATGTAAATAAACCGCATGATACATTCGCTTCGTCTTACACTTTGCCTTTGGAATTCGCGCTTATATAGTTGTATTAAATCTTCGATCCTGTGCAAACTACGCGACGTGTCAACGCGCCCATACACGACCACATCATCTTGTTAAACGGCGAAATAGCAGCGATATTATTAAAATAGGACCGGGTCTACGGCAATTGATAAAAGGAGAATAGTGCGAATAGTCGACGAATAGCGCGAATAGTCGACGAATAGTGCGAATAGTCGGCGAATAGTGCGAATAGTCGACGAATAGTCGACGAATAGTGCGAATAGTCGGCGAATAGTGCGAATAGTCGACGAATAGTGCGAATAGTCGACGAATAGTCGCATTGTGACATATTCTTCTAGCGATCGAATTCCGACCATACTTTACAAAACGAATAATACAAATTCCACAATACGTTTTACAGTAACTATTTTTTTGGAGAGGGGAATTCAAAAACCTGTTAGAAAACAATGCAATTCATCTAAGTGTTCTGGCAGTAATATACAAAGAATCTATTATTTAGTATAGAAAAAAAACACAAAGTTATCGACTTTTTAAAAAGTTCCTTAAAGTTCCAAAAATAGTAAACCCCATAAGTATATCATAAAATAACCTAACATAACGCAATTATAGTGTATAAGAAAAAACAATACTCTTATTTACATAAATTGGACATGTAGTCCTGATGCGCAGACATTTGCTTTAGCCTCTTCCGACAAACTCTGCCAGAATTCTCTTGCCACCATAACACGCCCGTCAAACATATAATTTTTCATCATAATGTGACCTGGATTAAGGTGGTAGTACGCTGCCTGAAAGCCATCGCTGTACACCAGATTTCCATGCGGGTCTTTACCCTTGACTCAAAATGTCTCAAAATGTCTCAAAAAGACTTATGTCTCAAAATGTATATATAAATTTGGTTTTAAGCCATATTTACACTGAAAACGTGCTGTCTAATCTAATGGGGTGAAAATGCTCAGCCAAATGAGCAATTATTATGTTTATCATCAATGGCTAAAAAAATGATTGCGTCAACTCTTCTGGAAAGCAGGTCATCTTCAAAGGCTATATAGAACGTTTTGTGGTGACCTTGTGTTTGTTCGAATTCCTGTTATTTCCACGTGCGTTGACCGCCCATCGGAAAGGTGAATTGAAATGCTCATATAAGATTTCAAACGTCATCTTGATGCATGGTAAAATTATAGTATATATAGTTATACACATACCTTTTTTGGGGAAGGTTCAGATTCCGAGCTAGAAATATAAATAACTTCCTTCTAAATGAAAAACATACACAATTTCAGTGACGATTTTCCGATTTTGGCACTGTGAAGTGTGAACAGAACATTTGTGGTTCTAAAGGTCTGTTATGTGCACACGGCACGGCCGCGTGTGTGGGTTTTTAGTGCTAGTGTTATAAATTGTATGCACACAGTTTATTTCATCCACATAGAACAATTTACAGACGCAAATCTTTGTAGTTTGTATACAAATGACAAATTCAAAGTGAATTTGCATAATTACATGTCGAAAATATGCAATTGCTCTATAATGTACTCTAGTTCCTTTATTATATCAACATACACCTCCGGCCACTACATAGACTCATAGAGCTCAATCTCTGAGTATACTTTTGATTCTAATTATATAGTTTAATAAAGAAAAAAAACATGAATAAATACCTCACAGTCACAAAGTGTTTCCGTCGACTCGGACATTTCAGTCATCTTGTAGTCCGCGCGGCTCAGCAGGTGGGCGCTCGGGTAACAGTTCTGCGTCTGGTCTGGGCGCAGACTATTTAGTGTGTTTGCCGACTATTCGTCGACTATTCGCACTATTCGTCGACTATTCGCCGACTATTCGCACTATTCGTCGACTATTCGCACTATTCGCCGACTATTCGCACTATTCTCCTTTTATCAATTGCCCCGGGTCTACATGTATTAAATATATTCTTACCCCAATTCAATCTAAACTTAATCGAACAGCATGAAAAGAACGGTTTATTTGTTCCTCTTGGAGGAATTGCCGTATCATGCGAGCGAAATCGAATCGCGCATTGGAAAATTAGCCAAAGCTGTGCACCACAAGTCTTGGGAGATAAGACTGGGACGTAGATAAATACGGTCACATACATGTTTTAAATACTAGTATATTTCGCGCCATTACAGACTTGCGACGACGAAAAATAATAAAAAAAAAAATAAAAAAACAAAAAACAAAAACAAAACAAAACCGGGGCGAATTTTCAACTCCGTCGCTGACGCCGGAGTAATTATTAAAATTCCTATCAATTTAGACCGAGTGTTATCATAATTTATCCCAACAGAATCAATATTGGTCACCTTTTATATTCAATATTCAAAGTTCCAGTTAAAGCTCTGTGGCCACAGTAATGAACGCAGTTTCCCATTGCAGCATCAAGTATAGTGGCACTAGCACCGCCGTGAACCAACCTAAATTTGAAAAAAATCAAACGAATCTGGTCCAAAGAAAGGGTTGAAGGTTGCCACCAAATATAATGGTTGCTATGCCCAATAAGTGTTTGTTGTTAATTCCGTGCAAAATATACCTATATACTGTATGTTGCATGGTTACTGTTTGAAGTTATTATTTGCTAGTATGGCTAGTGTCTAAAGACGTATACCCATGCACATGACGGTGTAAATGCAGTTAATATGAAACGTTATGTCGAAGAGGTGATGAAAAAATGGGTGTATCACGCCATTTTCTTCGCATTTTCACATCGTCTATGACGTTCAAGGGCCGGTTGTTCAAAAGACGGTTAACTTAACCAACGCAAATCTTTGCATCATTTTATCAATCACTTGTTTACAATAAAAGTCCTACTTTATAATGCCGGTTTTGAAACGAACGGCGATGCAGAAGCACATAAACTAAAACAGTGGAATAACCGTTTAACCCAGCCAGGGTAGCGATAACTTCCCTTGAACAACCGGCCCCAGGTTCTCTTGCTAAATTAGCCAATAACTCATGAAAAACTAAACATGCAGCTTCTATATCAACATTATAAAACCTAGCTCTTACCCAACAGGCCCTCTCAAATAAATTCCAAACTGCACAACAGCCTTCATACATTGTAACTTGGAATTATGAAAAAAAGCATACTGAAAAAATTTCCATGGCTCATCTTTTAATGCACTTGGAAAAACCCTGGAACCATCCGGACCCTCAGTCATAGCACGGTAGTGTATTTTCCAGTCATCTCCTAATTTATTTAACTTATTGAATAATTCCACCGACTCTTTCGACCACTTGTCATTCGGCACATCAGTGTCATATAACTCTTTATTCCTCTGTTTGTTCATCTGCAATAACCTTACAAACAAAAAGACCATTTAAACGAAAGTCGATCTCAACACACACATGCAAGACATGTCTTTCAAGTGTTATCACATTTATGTTGTATCTTATGCAAGTGATTATGTTGTCGTGTGTAAATTACTTGTGTTTTTTTCGTATAACGTTTTTGAATTAACTCCGTGCGTCTCTACGTCTGATGCTAATTTGTATTTAGAGATTATTCTCCTTAATGGAAACAAGTCTAACTCCAGGAGCCGGTTTTATAAAACTCTTTAACTTACACTTTGCTTAGTTAAATTCTTATTTAACTCCGAAATACAAGACTCTGGTTGGCCAATTCTGTCCTTAACTACAGTTAAAAGTTAACTAGTCTTTTATACAACTGGCCCCAGGTGTTCAAGCAAAGGGCGGTAAAAACGCAAGGTTTTCCAGCTTTGGGCTGACCAATCAGTAGGCAAGGACGCCCTTAGCCCCATTTTTTATTTAATAAGCCTCAATTTTAGACTTTATACAGTATCATATGATGATACGAACACCCCCCTGCCTCCTATGCCATTGGAGTCGCATACTGCAGCAACAAATTTTGGGGCGATCCTCTTGGGTTTCTGTCTATTGCAAACGCATTCGTGACTTCATGTCTGTTGCGTTTATTTTTGAACGCATTTCTTTGCCTTTGTTTTGACTAGTTTTACCTCAGTCATACAACAATTTCTTTGACTGGGGTTTATTTAGAAGAGTAGTCAGCAAAGCATATAATGGTTTATAAACCCACCGAACGGTTAATCACTCGCCGTTCTTTATAGATCCGGTTACGAGTATTCCTGGAATAAGGGTGAAGTGAAACCAAAGACAATGAGAGGCGTACGACGCGACACCGACACGTTTGACGACATTTTAGATATTTGGAGCATACTAGCATTTATTCGAATAAAATCAATATTGAAAAGTCGTATACTCACTGAGAGGCTGATACAGTATGCAAGTCGCAATGGCATAAGTCTGCTTTTAACTTGGTCGTGATTGTCGTGAACAAGTCATTTTTATCGATGTGAAATCGACTGAAATTTGTCTTCATTAGTCGTAATAGTCGGGAACAAGTCATGTCACCGATGAGAAATAGTCCGGATGTAAACTTGTGATTGTTGACTGCACACACATAGAAATACTCTTTCCCATCAACCACGTTGACATGTTAACGATAATTACGATTTAATGAAGAATCAGGCCATTGACGGTCGGTAAGATCACATAATCTTTATACATACATGCATACAAACGTCCCTACCAGTTGAAATTAAAAATATTTGAAACACTTACCATTTGAAACACTTGTCAAAATAAACCAAATTTCTATCTCGCGTGTTTCCACATTCGTCGAGTACAATTCCCGTTGTGACACAAGGGTTTGTCGAACGTTACATGAAGTAATACAATAGGTACCGCGGTAACATTTTGCGCCGTGAAACTCTGAGCCTGAGGCTTAACTCAGCATTGAGCAATTTTGTTGAAAATTGGGTGACAATATTGTTCAATCTTGATAACAAAATTATTAAGTCACAACCTTTAAACTGATTGTAAAGTTCAGTGGCCATAACAGGATTCTGTGATTGGTTGAAACCTCGTCAGTTGTTCTGTTGTGATTGGTTTTTCAAGGCATCAAAAAATAACCAATCAGAAGTCCTGAATGTTTGTTGAAACCAGTGCGCTCAATAAACACTGGAGTGATCGTTTGCTGAAATGCTATGTTCATGATTTTCACAATTGAAGAAAATTTTCTTCAAAATGACAACCACGAGGGACTGAGGGAGGGAGGGATCTGTGTTGATTGTCATTGCTATCCTCTTATGAGGACAGTCGCATGCAAATAAATCGTGGAAACTCTGGCTATGTTTGAATGAAACCATGAAAAAAACTCTTTCCTTCGTGAAATTAAGATGCTAGTACTTGATTTATACAAACTCTTGTTTTCGTTATTTTATATTCTCGTAATTGATTCACGTTGAATCCAAGCATTACTACACAAGCTAGTGTCAGTTCATACCCCAGGACATTACACAGTTTACACAATTCTAAGCCGAGAACTAATCGACACTACAAGTCACAAACAAAATAGGATGTCATGTTTTTCGTCTATTAGTACTCACATTGTTTCACTAACTTCAGGTTACCCTGTCCCCTTCATACAATAGCTTCCTTGTCCATTTTGGTGATCTTGTGGGGATCTTCAATCCTGAAACAGAAGTTCTGCTCTCAGTAAACATGCCAGAAAACAGAATGTACGAGGCATTGGCCCTCGAAGGGACTTGCCCTGTTTCAGGAGTAATACGATGTTTAGAGAGTTGTCAGTGGGTTTTACTACACGATAAGTTGTATGCAATTATCATTCTGAGGAATGCAAAAGAGTGCCTATGCCACAATCTTCATTCAATTATGTTCAGGTTGGAATTTAAAGTGTCATGTTTGTACGTATGTTCACACGTTCACATACGCCAGGGTACGACGAATCGCATACGACAAATCGCACATAGTGTAAAAGGGCCTTAACTATGATTGATTTGAAGAGCACTGGAATATTCTCGGTGGTAAGTGATTGCAGAAGAGGTGTTTTGATGAAAGTATTAGTATATGGTCGTCCTGCACCATTAAGTAAAAGTAATTCTGGAGAGTTTCTGGATTTATTTATATGCTGAAGACAAATTGATACCACAAACAACACTTTTTTTTCATTCAGTGTTCATTTGTAGGCTGCAAATTGCTACGCTGCTGGATAACGTGGGTTAACAAGAGACAACGGAAGTATAAACTTACTATAACTACATTGATATACCTTATTTTTCACGAGTAAAAAAACCACGCGGGCTCAAAAAGGACATTTAATTAAATTTCAATTTTATTATCCTATTCATTATCTATCACATTAATGATTATTAATTACATTTGGTTTAGACACTAACTAAAAACACGTAATTCCCAACCAATAATTGGCTGAGTAGTTCAAATGATAAAACAAACTATAAAAACGTACAAAAACGCTGAGAAATTCGCCATTAAACGACCGTGTTTTTAAGAATTAAAACGCAGGTTTAAAAGAGCTCAGTGAATGTTCGTTTTCAGAAAACAGGTCTAAATTGTTGATGTTACACGACGTTTAATTGGACGCTCGTTAGTTTTGGGGAACCAATCAAACTTCGTGTAACATCAGACTTTCCGCATTCGACGTCATTTTAAGAAAGGTTTGCTGTTGCCTTCTAGACGGAGGACTTTAACATTACAAATATCGATGCACCCTTGGAATAGATCTCGGAACCGTCTGCAGATTTTATTTCAGCTGAAGAGAATATCTTGCGACCTAAAACTCTGTCAACCCTAGCTTCGACCAATGTTGTTGTATCAACAGGTAAAGCTCTGCAAAAAAATTTTATTAAACCATTTTTTAAGTTACAGGTGGAGACAGCCACATTCTATATTCCAGGCAAGGCTATAATATGACGCAGTTGCGCGGCCCTGTGCACTAGAGAAGTGCTTCGTGTTCGGTTCCCGCCAAATTTTCCTACGGAGGACGACGCTGGCTTAGTGAAGTGGTTGGCCAGGGGGGGGATGTGCTATGTGTGGTCTGGGGGTGCCATCATTATCTCTAGCTAAAGTCTCCACATTCATTAAGTGGATTGAGTCGACTTAAGCCACAACAATGATGCATTTTAGATTTCAAGGCAGTCTCATATTATTTACATGAAATTTGTAAAACTATTATGTCAAAATAATAAAGTAATAATTTGAATTAATTGCGGCTAGTTTGCTTGACATTACCTGACATAATCAGTATTTAGATTTACAGTGGCAGCTGCTTGGCAATGCTTTCGCTATAGCTATTTGCTACAGCAGCCATTGCAGCATCTAACATAGTTGAAATGGCACCACCATGGACCACCCTAGAGGAGGCAATTAAGGAAGCTCATTGGTCAATAAAGTTTAACCAAATTGAAAACTATTGTACGTATATATAAGATAAAAAAATGCCCAGACTTTGGTCTGTCATGAATAGACCTTATGCATAATGATGTAACAAGCCGTGACACCTGCAGGGAATTCTGGTCTCAGTCGTCACTGCTCCAGTAGTCACAGAATTCCTTGCAGGCGTCACAGCTTAATACATCATTATGCAAAAGGTCTATTGCCTTTTTAGTCTTGTAATATAATATATGATAGTTTGTGACTATAATTTATTTGTGCCTTTTTAGAGTCTTGTAACATAATATGTGATAGTTTGTGACTATAATTTATTTGTGATTTCATAATCTCAGTGAGTTTTGGCCACTTTTTGTCCCAGGCCAGGAATCACCCACCTACCATCCCTTGATCTTGTTGCTACCACAGGAGGGGGACCCAGGGGGTGGCCGCTTGACATTGGCTATGTTATGTCACAGACTGATTACATTACCATTCTACACTTATAGTCAGAATAACTTTTGAGTGAAATGTGGTGTTGCTAGTGGATATTCTGAGTATTGTATATATAATCACTAAACCCTTGTACCCTGGAAAGCCTCTTGTATGAAATCCAAAATGGACAACACCTTTTACACAATTCAGCTTGGAGTTATAGAAGAATTCATTCCGAAAATATTTCCAAGGATCATCACTAGCTGAATGCATTAAGAAACCCCTGGAACCATTTTCATCCAAGACTGATGTTTCATCATGATATACTGCCCAGTCTGGACCCAATTCTTTTAACTTGTTCAACAACTGCACAAACTCCTTTGACCTTGCGTCATTGGGCATAGCACAGTCCACAGAACTCTCCATTACTGGTTTTAGCAGACGGCAGACCTAATATTAAAGAATGTGTATTAACACACGGTCCTACTAATGAACGCCCCGGGAATGCCCGGAGTGAAATCATGTAAAAAATCACAGTATAATTTAAAGTTCTAACTATGAACAGTTTATTATTCGATCACAAATACCTTTTTCATAATCAGTTCACTCACGTTTTGAAAAAACATGTTATTGTTATCGGGAAAGAATGCCCGGGGGTGGCAAAGAATGCCCCAGGAGGGCGGCAAAATTATGCGTCAATATTATATAAACGACCATTGTATATTATATAGAAAATTATTGTAATCAAGGTACACAAATGATAAAATATAACAACTTTTTGAGTTAGGGATGCAAAGTGATATATTTAGAAGACTAGATAGCCTAATAGGGGGTCTCAAGAGAGAACATGGTATTATCTTACAAGTACGGTATTTCTCCCCGGGCATCCTTTCCCGACTCCCGGGCATGTGCTCCGGGCGGCATTCCCGGGCGTTCATCTACTTCAATATTTACAGCACTACCATAAAAATTGATAAAATGTGGTGTTCGAGAGAAAATTGTACAAAACATAAAATTTAACATAACCTACCCGCTCTCGAGGTCATAACAAAGTTAACAAACGGTCTTTCATACTGCTGAATAATTAAAAGCAATTTTCCGTCTTACACGACGATCTTTCTTGAATTGCAATGCATTCTACTTTTAAGAGATGTAAATTTGACCAATACGAAAAATTTCATCATTCTCATGTTCAGTAAATCCACGGTAAATCCTAAATACCCATATATTGGCAAGAAAAATGTTACGTATTTAATTAATACAATATTCAAACGTTTATTGAATTTTTACTGTTATGAATTGTACACATACAATTAATTTGATTCATTTCCATCATTAAAAGGGTGCAATTTATATACTACATATTAAAGTCATAACGTATTAAAATCTATAGACTACATCATGAAAGGAATTAATAAACTTTTATTTATGAGAACATAATGCGAGCTAGGGATTGTTAATTGTGCTAATGCTTTAAAAATATACGAGTGTTATACGAGGTACAAAATTTGAATGTCAATGATAATAGGTGAATGACCACACAGGTGCCAGCTTCTAGCTTGGTACATACCTGGAGAAATTACTTGTTGTAAAAGAAGAGATTTAAAATTTTCAAATTTCAAAAACTAATGTGAAATCAACTATTCATCTTGACATTGATACCCACACCTTTTAAATAACATAGCTTGTATCTTGTCTATTAACCCATAAATAACATAGCTTGGTTTTGAGTATGTACTATACCAAAATTAATTATTATAAAATGAACCTATATCAAGCTCATGCTACATGGAGGATTTTAATATTATAAATATAGCAGTGCCCCTTGAATAAATTTTAGAACCATCTGCTGACTTTATTTCTCCTGACGAGAATATCTTTCGACCTTCAATCTTATCAATTCTAGCTTCAACCAAGGTTGTGGAATTGATAGGTAATGGACTGAAATCAAAAATTAAACAAAATTGTATCGAGTATTTGTGTAACTGAATGAATGAGGCCAAGACTACAGTTTAAGAAACAAGGCTTAAACTTTAACAGTGAAGTTTCTATTGTGAACAACTATGAAATTTTAAAATACATAATCATATATTATTATATTATATATATTAGAATACACAGCATCTACATCATGTTACTGAAGGACAACTTTGTTTGTTGTATTTGAGTGTTGCATTATAATTTATCCCTGCAAAAACAATATTGTTTATATTCACACCTTTTATATTCAATATTTAAACTTCCAGTTAAAGTATTGTGCCCACAATAAAAAGTACAATTTCCAATTACAAGATCAAGGATGGTTGCAATAGCACCGCCATGAACCAACCTAAATTGAAATATGTAATTTAGCATGTAGATAAGGTACACCATGTAAGTATTAATACTGCAAAGCTTTTGGTCCCTTAACCAGGGCCTTCAGGAATATTACTAAATTGAAATATTTCTAAATATAATGGTTACTATATATACCCAATAGTTCATTATGTGAGAAATATATGTAACTTTTCATGTTAATTGTTTTTGAGACTTCCGGACTTGCAAAATCAATTTTTTACTGATGAAAAACTAACATGCATTTAGAAATTTCAAAATTAGAAAACCTAGCTCTTACCCAATAGGACCTCGTGTATAATTTCCAAACTGCACAACAGCCTTTGTACATTGTAGCTTGGAATTGCTAAACAATGCATACTGGAAAAGTTTCCATGGCTCATCTTTTACTGCACTTAGAAAAAACCTGGAACCATCTGGACTTTCATATACATAACGATAGTTTATGTTCCAGTCACCTCCTAATTTATTTAACTTGTTGAATAATTCCACTGACTCTTTTGACCATTTGTCATTTGGCACATCAGTGTCATGTAAATGTTTAAAGGAACTGTATAACCTGTATTCGTTCATCGGCAATAACCTAACAAACAAAAAGACCATTTAAATGAAAGTCTCAACACATGCACACAAGACATTTAGCATCAAATGTGGTATAAGAACTGCCTAAAATAGACAAAACACTTCTCTATGTTTCAACCTGAGGGCCTTCGTCAGGAGAGTTAGTTTACGTCGAGAAGTGTTTCGCCCATGTTAGGCAGTTGTTATACCGCATTTGATGCTAAGTTATTTGAAGATGCTGTCATGCTGCTCCCTGGTTATGTTGGAATGTATCTATATATACACAAGAGACATGTCTTTCAAGTGTTATAAAGTTTCATAATGTTGTATCATATGTGGCTAATTATGTTCTGTGTGCACATGATTTACTTTTTTTTTCTTCTAACATGAATTATAAACTTATTATGGGTCAGGTGTGATGTTTAATAATCTTCATAGATGGCAAGATAATTCTCCCTGGTGGAAACAAATCTACCCTGGAATGAGGTCACTACATTAATCGCTATAAATATTGCTTTTGCTTTATTTAAACATAAATTGAACCTTTGAGCAATGATCACAACCCTAAAGCCCTCCTGCCGGGCCATCTGATCCGTAGACCGTACCCATGACCCTACATGCCCAGAGCCTGGCAAAATTTATCTTAAGGAAAACACTTCTGAAACAAGTTCATTCGACCTAATAAATTATAATTTAAGATTTTCTACATACTTACAAAGTACCACGTAAAATTAAAAAGAAATAAAACTTACCAAAAAGTTAGGAGGTTAGCAGTGAGGTTAGGACACTGGACTAGGATTAATCACTGTGGATTAACGTAAAGATTATATTTGTGCCTATTTCGAACTCTTCACTAATTTACATCTCTTAAAAAGTAGAATTGAATTGCACATTGATTCACACAAGAAAAAGGTTACATTAATACATTTCCAAGACCCTTTCAATTAAAAGGGTGCAATTTATATACTACATAAGTCATAACCTAAATCTATAGACTACATCATGAGAGGAAATTAAGGAATGACCTTTTATTTATGACCGTAGAGAGCGAACATAATGTGAGGGATTGGTAATTGTGCTAATGCTTTAAAATATGCGATACAAAATGTGACCATCAGAATGATAATGTGTCCACACTGGCCTGGCTTGTAGCTTGGTACCCTAAGTGCTGTCACATTAAAGGGAAAGCTAGGTAGGGGGAGTGAATATCTGGAAAAATTACTTGTTGATAAAGAAGAGATATAAGATTCTCAAATTTTAAATAGACCATTCATCTTGAAATTGATACCCGCTCCTCCTGCCTAAATAATGGCAAGGGCTTGTCTATTAACTCATAAATAACATAGCTTGGTTTTGAGTACTTTACCAAAATTAATTATTATAAAATAGACCTATATAAAGCTCATGCTACATGGAGGATTTCAATATTATAAATATAGCAGTGCCCTTGGAGTAAATTTTAGAACCATCTGCTGACTTTATTTCCCCTGACGAGAATATCTTTCGACCTTCAATCTTATCAATTCTAGCTTCAACCAAGGTTGTGGAATTGATAGGTAATGGTCTAAAATGAAAATTAAATAAAATTGTATTGAGTGTTTGTGTATCTGCATGAATGAGGCCAAGACTACAGTTTAAGAAACAAAGCTATTTAAACTTTAACAGTGAAATTTCTATTGTGAAGAATGATTAAATTGTAAAATACATTATATATTATTATATTATATATATTAGAATACACAGCATCTACATCATGTTACTGAAGGACAACTTTGCATGTTGTATTTGAGTGTTGTATTAATTCATTTATCCCTACAAAAACAATATTGTTTATATTCACACCTTTTATATTCAATATTTAAACTTCCAGTTAAAGTATAGTATCCACAATAATAAACACAATTTCCGATTACAAGATCAAGGATGGTTGCAATAGCACCGCCATGAACCAACCTAAATTGAAATATATAATTTAGCATGTAGATAAGGTACACAACTTAAGTATTAAATACTGCAAAGCTTTCGTTCCCTTAACCAGGGCCTCCAAGAATATCACTAAATTGAAATATTTCTAAATATGATGGTTTTATATATACCCAATACCCAATAAATAATTAAGTGCAAAATATATGTAATGTTAAAGAGGTGCAGAAAAAATGGCATGGGACATCCATATATAGGCACTTCAATAATATTTTTGTCACTCTCATGTTGTTTTTGAGACTTCCAGTCCTTTTGCAAAATCAACCTATTACTGATGAAAAACTAACATGCATTTAGAAATTTCAAAATTATAAAACCTAGCTCTTACCCAATAGGACCTCGTGTATTATTTCCAAACTGCACAACAGCCTTTGTACATTGTAAATTGGAATTACTACACAATGCATACTGAAAAAGTTTCCATGGCTCATCTTTTAATGCACTTGGAAAAAACCTGGAATCACCTGGACTTTCATATACATCACGGTAGTGTATGTTCCAATCATCTCCTAATTTATTTAACTTGTTGAATAATTCCACCGACTCTTTCGACCATTTGTCATTTGGCACATCAGTGTCATACAAATTCTTAAAGGAACTGTAAAACCCGGATTCGTTCATCTCCAATGACCTAGCTAACAAACAAAAAAAACTATTTAAATGAAAGTCTCAACACATGCACACAAGACATTTAGCATCAAATGTGGTATAGGAACTGCCTAAAATAAACAAAACACTTCTTGATGTTTCGACCTGAGGGCCTTCATCAGGAGAGTTAGTTTACGTCGAGAAGTGTTTTGTGTATTTTAGGCAGTTGTTACACCACATTTGATGTTAAGTAATTTGAAGATGCTGCCACACTGCTCCCTGGTTATATTGGTACATATCTACACACAAGACATGTCTTTCAAGTGTTAGTTTTATAATGTTGTATCATATGCAAGTGGTTAATTATGTTCTGTGTGCATGTGAATTACTTGTGTTTTTTTCTTATAACTATTAAATATGAATATGGGATGTCAAGATAATTCTCCCTGGTGGCAAAAATCTACCCTGGAATGAGGTCACTACATTAATGGCTATAAATATTGTTTTACTTTATTTAAACATAAATTAAAGCTTTGAGCAATGATAACAACCCTAAGGCTCTCCTGTCGACCCATGACCCTTCATGCCCAGAGCCTAGCAAAATCTTACAGGAAACACATCTGAAACAAGTTCATTCGACCTAATAAATTATAATTTAAGATTTTCTACATACATACAAAGTACCACGAAAAAATAAAAAGAAAAAAAAACTTACCAAAAAATTGTCAAAGTCGTTTTTTTTAAATTAACACCTTCGTCCATCTTACTTACCCGATTGGATGGTTAGGTGTTAGCTCGTCGCTCGCGGGAGGGGTGGCTTGGAACGAGTGCTGTTACTTGGAGCCAGGTTGAGATCCCTACGGTATCTTAAGCTGAGCACGCGCCCCCTCCCCCTGCCGAGAGCTAACCCTTCACACCAACTTTGTTGGTGGAAAAGACAGGCAAATGAAGGGAGTAAACCAAAGAAGAAAGAAAGAAATTTACTAATAGCACTTTACCACAAGCTGCTGTTGTTGGCGTTGTCGCTCGTTCGCCGACGGGTTGTTAATGCCCTCTGCGGGCTCTGCTCCGCACCTTGCCTCCACTCGCCCCTCCCATTCGGTCACGTGCTTACCTGACGTCACTGACCGGTTTCCTCGTTGTTAACCTTGGTTATTGCATAACCCCATAAAAACAAAAATTTCCTCCTCGTGCTTCCACATTCACATCCACATTCACCGAGTACAATTTAGGCTTTAGCATGTAAATTTGAAAAATACGAAAATAATTTCATCATTTTCATGTTCGGTAAATCCTAATCCAGTGTAATCCAGTGAACCTCACTGATGTAATCCTTGAGGTTAGGACACTGGACTAAATAATGGCAAGGATCTTGTCTATTAACTCATAAATAGCATAGCTTGGTTTTGAGTATGTACTATACAAAAATTATTATTATTATAAAATGAACCTATTTAGAACTCGTGCTACATGGAGGATTTTAATATTATAAATATAGCAGTGCCCTTTGAGTAAATTTTAGAACCATCTGCTGACTTTATTTCTCCTGACGAGAATATCTTTCGACCTTCAATCTTATCAATTCTAGCTTCAACCAAGGTTGTGGAATTGAGAGGTAATGGACTGAAATCAAAAATTATACAAAATTGGACTGAGTGTTTGTGTATTTGAATGAGGCCAAGACTAAATTTTAAGAAACAAGGCTTAAACATTAGCAGTGAAATTTCTATTGTGAACTATGATATTTTAAAATACATTATATATTATTATATTATATATATTAGGATACACAGCATCTACATCATGTTACTGAAGGACAACTTTGCATGTTGTATTGAGTGGCGTATTAATTTATCCCTACAAAACCAATATTGTTTATATTCACACCTTTTATATTCAATATTTAAACTTCCAGTTAAAACGTAGTATCCACAAAAAAGAACACAACTTCCAATTACAAAATCAAGGATGGTTGCAATAGCACCGCCATGAACGAACCTAAATTAAAATATTTAAGGGTTAAAATCAGCTTGCCAAATATGATGGTTACTATATATACCCAATAATTATGTGCGAAAAATATGTAACCTCAAAGAGATGAAAAAAAATGACATGGCACATCACACCATTTTTTCATCATTTTCATGTTGTTTTTGAGACTTTGATGTTCCCAGTCCTTTTGTATGCATTTACAAATTTCAAAATTATAAAACCTAGCTCTTACCCAATAGGACCTCGTGTATAATTTCCAAACTGCACAACAGCCTTCATACATTGTAGCTTGGAATTATTAAACAATGTATACTGGAAAAGTTTCCATGGCTCATCTTTTACTGCTCTTAGAAAAAGCCTGGAACCATCTGGACATTCATATACATCACGGTAGTGTATTTTCCAGTCATCTCCTAATCCATTTAAGTTGTTGAATAATTCCACCGACTCTTTTGACCATTTGTCATTTGGTACATCACTGTCTAACAAGTAACTATATTGGTTCATCTGCAATGACCTAAGTGTTATATAAACAAAAGTGTTATATAGTTTTATAATGTTGCATCATATGCAAGTGGTTAATTATGTTCTTATGTGAATAACTTTTTTTTCTTATTCTAAAACGGAATGGAAACAAGTCTACTCCGAGGTCACTACATGAATGGCTATAAATGTTTCATTTACTAAACATAAATTGAACCTTTGAGAAATGATTAAATTTCCCTCTCCCCATGACCCCATAATGTTGGGTCACCCCACCTATACACCCATGGTCATCTTGCCTGTAGTGGCCTGGCAAAATCTTATAGGAAACACTTCTGAAACAAGTTTATTCGACCTAATAAATCATAATTTTAGACTTTCTACATACATACAAAGTACCGGGTAAAATTAAAGAGATAAAAAAGTTAAACTTACCTTTTGAAAAAACAAAAATTTCTGCCTCGTGCTTCCACATTCACCGAGAGCAATTTCCATTGTGACACAAGGACGGTTTGTCGTAAAGTGCACTGAACTATACTGTAGTGTTACATGAAGTAACGGCAAAGTTACCATGGTAACATTGTGCGTCGTCAGATTTTGTTTACATTGGCCGCGACGACGATATTTTTTCAATGAGAGATTTTATTATTTTATAGCGCAATTTAAAGAGGTTTTAGAGAATATTTTCTACAAAATGAGTGTACGAACGTACAATCCGTCTGTCAGAGTTGGCAATTGGAACGAAGATATCTGTTTGAAAGAGGTTTGCTTTGATTTTGATAGCAGTTTTGCCGCGTTTTAATAGTTTATACGAGAACTCAGCATGGCTGGGCCACTCTGACAGCGCAGTAGGTATTAATTCCAATTCCTTTTCAGGATTTGCTCAAAGATTTTCTTGACAAGAAAGAAAAAGGCGAACTCCTGATTCAAAAAACCCACAGCTTACATAAAACAATTCTCAATAAGGTAGGCCGGGTGACCAAGGAATTCTGTGTCTGTGAAAGTACTTGGAAATACTGGGTGAAAATAAGTCACAACTTGAACTGATGTGTGAAGCTCAGTGGTTTTAACAGGATTTTTAATTGGTTGAAATCTTGTAAAGCTAGACTGAGCAAGTGCTCTGTGATTGGTTCAAATGTTCAAAGTGTCAAAAAAGATCCAATCAGAAGTCCTAAATTTTTGTTGAAATCATTTAACTCAATAACTACCGGTGTAATAAAAAGTCACTGAAACACTGTGTTTGGTGAAACCACAAATAATAAGAACCATGGCGAAATCTATCTATGGCGAAATCTATATATGGTGAAATCAAGATGTTTGTATTTGATTTATACATGCAAACTCCTATTTTCATTTTTTTATTTCCTCCTGATTCAAGATGGTTCTCAGTATCACTATACAAGCTAGTGCTAGTTATTAGAATGTTATTTATCTATTGGTACTTACATTGTCTTAATGACTTCAGGTTGACCTGTCCCCTTCATATGATGGCTTTGTCCATTTTGGTGATCTTGTGGGAATCTTCAACCCTGAAACAGAGGTTGTACTTTCAGCAAACATGCCGGAAAGCAGAATGTACGAGGCGTTGGCCCTCGAAGGGCCTTGCCCTGTTTCCGGTTCCAAGTCGCTGGATCCCTGCATTAGAAACATATTTGTTGTTACAAGGTAAACAAGTTCCACCATCCGTAATGATTGATGAACAGCAAGGGCCAGTTGTATAAAAAACGAGTTAATTTTTAACTGTAGTTAAGGACAGAATTGGTCAATTGGCCAGTTGGAGTTGTGTATTTCAGAGTTAACTAGGATTTAACTGTGTAAAATGTAGTTAAAGAGTTTTATACAACCATCGATCCCCAGAACTTTAAAGTGGTACACCAACATGGCTGCTTCAATGTTAAGTAATTTTGTTAGAAACATCTACCCATAGCTTCAATTGGGATGCAATGTTATATTGTATTTGATAAATGATAATTCTTTCATTGCTGAAGTTTTGAACCTGTAACTGGTTTAAACTGTCTCATGCCTTTCACATACTCTAGTTTAATAATCCTTTGTTTTCAACGGATGGATTATTTAATTGCATTTTTTTGCTCTTTCAACTGAATGGTTTGTTAGCTAGGAGAACATAATATTCTAATGATTTCCTTCGACTTTCTGACAAACTATCTACAAGTAAAACTTAATTTAGATTTAAATATCGATGGAAAAAACATTTAAAATATAGAATTAATATCACCAACAACACGATATTCATCTGTCAGGTGCAACATATTTATAATTACAATTTAACACAAACTTTAAGCGTGAAATTTCAATTATATAAACACAATTTTTGCGACGTCAAATTGTTAGATACGAAAGTGGATAAATGAAACAAAAACGGACAATATTTACCAGGAATACTTTGTCGTTTCATGAGCAATTTTAAAGAAAACACGATGTCCTTTAGATTTCAGAATCCAGAATTTCAAAAACCCAGCGAAACACGTGGGGACGTGGGTTTTAACCAAAACCCAGGCCTCACACTTTACGCGGCCGAAAAAATACGAGAAATTGGACCATATTTGAGCGTCTAGTCAAAAAATTACCACATTTATCAAGAAATAACCAAGAAATGTTCAAACACAGTTTGTGGTTCAAATAACCAAAACTTGCATGCAAAAATGGGTGGGAAAAAAAAGGTGAAAAAATGGTAATTTTACCATACCTGGTCAAAGTGTAGTGGTCACGTGCACCATTTCCCTATCATTCTGTGGCATTCTGTGCATACTGAGGGAACATTCGGTTTATCTTTCCTCTTTCAGCTGCGAAGACCCTGGTGAACGTGGGATTGTAAAGTTTGGTCAACAATTTTACTTGAAAACACTTCCAGGAATCGGTGGAGATGTAAGCTGATATCATTATTGTTTAATTTAAGACAAACTAATGGTCGTTTCTCTTGTCACCTTGTCAAACAAAAGATAGCAAGTTTGTGAGAAATTTTATTTCGCATAACAGTATATACAAATGACGATCAAAACTTGTTTTATAAAGCTGGAATTATCCATTTCATGATATTAGTTAGGAAAGGGAGGTGTGGGCAGTGGGCACCTCTCCATTTAGAAAGGGCGCCATAATTTCTCTCAATACACCCTATGCATAATGACGTATTAAGCCGTGACGCCTGCAGGGAATTCTGATTCTAGCAGTCACGGCGAAAAATTCAAAGTTCAAAATTTCCCGCTGTAACTACTAAGACCAGAATTCCCTGCAAGTGTCACGGAAATTAAAACAGGGTGGAGTAAACTGCACGCGCCCCTTGGCCTGTCTCGGTCAAATGTAAAATACAAATAATTCTTGTTTTGTATTACACTTTAGTTAGCGCTGCAAAGTGACAGGGCAACATTTATGAAATGTGCAAAAAAATCGCGACAACAAGAAATTCTTTTGACCGAAGGAGCTTCCTTTCTCTCAGCGTGGTTAGTATGATTGTGCTATGTTGATCTTTATCATGAGACTCTTGCAATCCGAGACAGCCCTACACATCTAGTTTGAGTAGGAATATCTAGTTTACTGTGGAAATAAACCCTTTATCGTATGTTTTGAGAACAAAATAGATCACTTGCGAATTTCCAAGATTGCTTTTGCATGTACATTTGACACTTTAAAATATTTATTCTTCTCTTCTATTTGTTTTTTTAGGAAGGTACTATGTTATGATCCGCAAGAACGTCTTGAAACGGAAGGACTTCCCGTTCCGGTAAAAACATAGTTTCACAATCATTTACAAACATTTTTTTCTATTCTATATTATTGCAGGATAATGTCCGGTTACAGGCAATTGACGAAACACTGAAAATGTTTGTTTTAGGCAAATAAGAAAATCCTGATTTGTCATTGCAAGACAAACCAATGTCTGGCATCTTTGTCCGACTTCTCGTTCAGGTAACAAAAATTACACGTGTACAGTATATAGACCCTTATCAAAAGTCTTTTAGTTTGCGGACAGAACATGTTCCTGACTGGTCAACTGGGAGCACTGCAAACTACGTCATGTTAAATGGTTCGTGTGTCAGTGGGTGGGTGGGTAGGTGGGGTTCGTGTGTCAGTGGGTGGGTGGGTAGGTGGGTTCGTGTGTCAGTGGGTGGGTAGGTAGGTGGGGTTCGTGTTTCAGTTTGGGGCTTATGTCGTGTGCAGCAGAATCGTTGTTTCATCAAACAGGATCATTATGCTGTTAGAAAAACAAACTCAAAAACTATATATGATTAATGTACTCATAGCGCATGGCATACGTCAAGCTGTCTGATTGGCCAACTCACATTTGATTTGAAAAATAATATTATATTTTACTGAATGATCTAGGACACCATTTGGTCGCGAACAAGAGGTGGTTGCCCAGACCTGCCTAAACTCTCACAAAGCTGAAATGCCTTTGAATCACTGGGTGTTCGTCAAAGATGAATGTGGTCAGCGGTTGCCGTCGAGAACCTCGCTCCCGAGCAGACCTGTGACTCGTGCTAGTGATAAGAACCCGCACACGAGTTTACCACCTACAGCAAGTTCACTGGCTACAGCACCCTCAACGGGCGTTCCGTCGGCGGTTCCGTCAACTGTCAGGCCTGAAAGCCAGACGACCAGTCACAAATCGCGCTAGTCTGGTGTGCGTGAAAAAAATTAAAACTAATTATTTGTAAATATTGGTCGTTATTAAATTTAATACTTGTAATTACTGCCTTAAGGTCTAATTCTAAACACGATCCAATTCACTTCTGATGGATGTTTTATAGCTGTTGACTTGCAATGTATGTAGGCAGCAAATCAACCTAAACCAACACAGTGCTGCTTTATTAATAAATTACTATATTGCATACATCAGAAAATTCAGAAGTGAATTAGATCCAACAAAATTGGATCGTTTGAACAGACCTTTACAAAAATTTTTTGTCAACAAGGCTAATTAGTATGTCAATCAGTGAGGCAAAAAGGGTTGAGCACTTAAAAAGGTCAGATTGGTTAACTTGAAAATTTATCTCAAAAGAAGACAAGAGATGACATTTTTGACTCACAATGGAAACATATTTGCTTCAAAGCCAAAACTCAGAAGGAGTAAGTGGAATTCACTCTCATGCTCAAAGTTCAAGATTTCAGTTATTGAAAGGACAACCTTGTATCCAACAGCAAAATTACCCTGCGTATGAGGTTGCCTTGAATCATCTGTATCAAAGAAAATCACAACAAAATTTACAAGCAAAACAGGTCTCTTCAAACATGAGTCTGGGCTATGTTAGATTAAGCAAGGCAATTTTGCCACAATTTTACAAAGAGGGATGTTTTTTATTTAAAATATTTCCCAATAACTGCAGGAAGCACCCTTCAGGTCTGTTCACACAATCCAATCTTGTTGGATTCAAATTTCACTTCTGATGTATGAAATGAATTCAGTTATTGATAAAGCAGTACTGCATTGGTCAGGTTGATGTGCTGCCCACATACATTGCAAGTCAGAAAACTATAAAACATCCATCAGAAGTGAATTGGATCCAACAAAATTGGATTGTGTGAACAGACCTTTATATAAAAACAGCCTAAAATAACTACAGCATGTTTTTACAGCATAGCTTGCATGAAGTCTTCATGTGTAAAGTCATGTTGATGCAAGTTGTTCAAAACAGGATAATAATAGACAAGTCTATTATTTCTATAGATGCAACACAACATTGTTCACTCCAGATGTGACAACCTGATCAATTTTTTGCCATGTTGTTTCCTGTTTGGATGTTACCTATCACTACCACTGTACCACATGCAGTAGATGAGAAATAGCTCAAACTTTCCCAGCCTTTATGTAGTGTATATGTGCAAGTCAGTCCTCAAAATTGCGAAAATATTTTGAGGTGCCCTTTGCATCTGCCACTTATTACATATCGTATCAACAATGACCAGGTGGAATCTAGTATAGCTGAGGCACAGTGGTTCCACAAGTCTTGCATATACTCATATAAGAGGCTTATATGATATATGAGTTCATATTTAGCTCTGTTATTTGTGCTGTATTCAGCATTGGTTTTATCTGCTATTTTGGGGTACTTTTAATTTTCTATTATGGGTTCAAACAATTAAAATATGAAGAGCAATTTTTCAGAATCAATAGACCATGCAATTAATAATTTAACTTAAAATTAAAAACAGTTGCAGTTACCAGGTCTTACACTCACAACATTGAAAGAAAGGTATCCAAAAAATGACTGCATATTCATAATCATGAGAAAGCATTACTGGGTATTCTCCAAATTTCATAGAACATATTTTTAAGGAGAGAAAACTTTAAAGTATCTTTATTATATATGAAAAACTATTTACACAAACAAATGCATTGATAAAATGCCAGTCAATCAAATCATCACCACCCTTTCTGAAGCTTGCAACATGAGTACATTTCTAGTACCAACCAAAGCAACTGCACCATTTCTATGGCTTATGAGATGAAAAGAGGATGGATTCTCTACAATCTCTGATATAAAAAGTAAATGTGAACGTTGAAGTTCACCAGTTTCTGCCGATAAATAATCCACAAAGACTTCACTACCCTCAACAGCTAATCCAACAATGCTTTTTAGCACACGGTTGTAACACATACTCCAGTAATGATGTTTCCTGGCACGAAATCGAACACAATTTTGCAACTCTCCGTCTTGTGTGAGGATATAAAGCAATCTTTCTCTACCACTTTTTGCAACAAGCACAATTTCTTCATTGCAAGAAATAAACATGCACTCTATTGACCCGAAACCAAAAAGCCATTTGAACATCACATCATCCACAGATTCCTCATTCTTTAGTGTTGATGCAAGCAAACTGCCTAGGGGCTCACTTTTGTTTTGTAGTGGTTGGACTTCTCTCATTTTGTATAAATACACTATGTTCTCTCCAAAGTCATTCTCACAACATATGACAATCTTCTTCTCTTTGGTCACAGCAAGATAACACAGAATACGACCTTCAAGGAATGTCAGTCTGCGATGATAACTAAGGATTCCATCTTTTGTGTAAACTGATAGTTTATAACAACTATCATGCCAGGACAGGACATACACTTGGTCATCATTATCAACAGCAACAGAACAGTATTCAATATCTTGGGATGTTACATCAATGGAAGAAGAAAACTGCTGCAATTTGCCTGAGGTTGTGTTAAGTTTCCCAAGAACATGTTTTTCATCATTGCCAGAGAAAAGGCAAACGAGATCTCCATTACTATTTAGAACAGGAATGGTAATGTACATATCATGTTCTATGTGTGAAATGTCCCAGGGATGTAGGGCTTCCCTTTCCTCTGCATTTAATTCTAACCTTTCATCTTCGACTTCGTAATAAATTGGAGATATAACAAGCTCATCGTCGCATTCTATCATTGGCATGTCAAAAACGGCCACTCTTCGCTTTGTCAATTTTATAATATTGACTAGAAATAAATTTATCATTATTACTGACTTTATAAGTTCAGTTCGTGCAGATTTCTTAAATAGAGATTTAAGTCCTCCACGGAAATGCAATAAAAAAGTATTTTGAATGGCTGGAATCGTATGAATCTCTTGAATATACTGCAAGCAATCAATGGCAAAAATTTCCAGATCATCCAAATGCTCTAGCATTGCACTTGCAATGCGTAGTTTACTTGCTAAAATTCTGTCCTCAATGCTTAGAAATTCGCTGCAAAAAGCACGTGTTGCGGCATATCTGGCTTGAGTGAACTTCCCCTTGCTGCGCTGTGACTCGCATTGCATTATGGCATCATCAAATATATTTTGCTCTTGTACTAGATTTGCCTTTGTTACACTTGAACAGAGATTCGGGGACTCGGATGTAGATGAATTTCCTTCTTTAAGTGAGATCCGAAGATGAGAAACACCTTCGCTGAGTAACAACAGGCTGTTACATAGATCTCTTCTTGCTAATCCGTCAAGTTTATGTTTTATTTCGTCCAATTCACGAACAATCAAATTCGTCATTTGAGGCAGTGTAGGGTCGTCTTTCCTCGCAACAGTAGGCGTTCGAACCTTGCCACTGATAAGGCTAATGGCAGAACACAATAAACTTGATGTTATTTCAGACATGACTGCGTTTTTCTGCAAATGGTCTCTAATAAACCTATTCCATAGCACCTGTAATAGCACCACTGATCCTCTCTTAGTCTCTTTGCCAAGTTCGAGACTACGACTCTACGACACAGTGTCTACGAGTTCGCTCAATCATTCTGTCTACCGTGATGCTTTGCAATTCTGCAATTCCGTGATGCTTTGCAATTCCCTAAGCCAGATCACAGATTAATACGATTAATGATTAATACCCAGATCCACTGAGCTATATTAAAATTTGCTCATTATTTTTCGGTAACTTTGCCGCCAACTTTTTAAAGCCAAGGCCACAAATAGTTTTTATTTTAAGATGAATACAAACAAATATATATAAAAATGTGGACAAACTAAAGATTTTAATACTGACACAAACGGACAGGTTTATTATTTTATTTTCGTAATAATATTTTTTTTATTTATACATTCCAATATGTTATTGTTATATGAAATTTTACAAATGTTTGAATGTTTTGGGACTATCGTCGGATATTTTGAGGACAACTAGGAATTTATGGACAACAATTTGACTTTTCTAAACCCTGAACTGATGAATTGCAGAAAGTATGTAATCAGTATTCAGTATGTGATGTTGTCTTCAGGAGTACTTTTCATTCAAGTCATCAACTTGTACCTCAATGGGCTATAAAAGTTTTCAGCATTGTCTAATTGCATCCCTGGACCCCTGGTCATAGTAAATAATAATTTTCATCCCTCCATAGGCTCCACTGATTAGCCTAATAAAAATAGCCCTCTTGGAGGTTGATAACACAAAGAGAAAATTGAAGCAGATTGAAGACACACTGCTTAGTCAATGCATGTTTATATTTATTTCATTAATTAATAAATATAACAATTGGTATAAAAACACCAGCCAACAACAAAATCAGATAACATGGTAATGAAGAATAACAATGCACATTCATAAAATGCATGAACTTCATCCAAAAAAAAATAGAGATCTGATCAAGATTTATTCACAAGGTGCAAGAAGCTAAAAAATAAATTATAAACTATGATATTAACTAAGCTTTAACAGCCACTGTCGGAAGTTGAAATTTTACACTGTTTACAGCATCTTATTATTTTGTATCAGCACCCACTCAACACTTTTGCAGTCAGATCAAGTTAATTGATGATGGGTGGGATCAAGGGAATGCTTTACCTATTAACATTGATGTTTGCTATTATGAAAACAACATAGACCGAACTCAAAAGATTGACACTACCAGGAATTTAATTCCTTCCCCACACAAGTCAAGAAAAAATGATAAAATGTGGGTACATAACAGTTGCATTGACAGCACTGTAATGCACCAAAGGGCGAAAATAGTATATTTACTGTTTGTACCACACGTTTTGATAGATTTATAGTCTCAGAGGCTTTGGTAACCAGTTTATACTACGATCTAAACTCGAAAGGTAAAAAACGAAATTGTTTATAATATAAAAAAAGTTAAAAAACAGCTTACCTGGATGCTATAAAAATTAAAATAACAGTAAAATGAGAAAATTCCCTCTACCGATAAGTGAATTAAGCCATTCGCAACCTCAGACGTATGGCACAAAGTTACGTCTCCTTTCCATTTGTTGAACAGGGAAAAAGAGGAACACTTTTATCCTTTTTAGATGAAAAACAAAAAAATATATACAGAAAATATTTTCATAAAAATCGGGAGGGTGAGGACACAGTTTTTCCCTTTGTATTGCGGTATGTCAGTGGCAACTACCATGAGCAAAAGGAACCAAGTGGCATCAGTAAAGCTCAAAATCCGCCATCTTAGTGTCTTCAACTTTTGCCTGAGAACAAGTCCTCCAGGATTTTAATATAGCTCAGTGGGTAGGTATAGCCAGTGAATCAGAATCACTGATCAGAACATAGTAGCCCAGAAATCTGTTTGTACTCAGTCTTCGACTGCATTGTTTATGCGCATGGTCAGCTATTACTGTCT